ACTCCCCACTCCCCTTCCTCTTCCTACAAGCACTTACACCGCTAAAACCCCCTGCTCCCCCCAAACGAAAACCCCGCCCCCCAGCCTCCTCCCGCCGCGCCCGGCGTCGGCGTCGCGCCGAACGAAAATCCCCCCGCGGCCGCCGGCGCTTGTGGTGGTGGTGGTTGCAGTTGTGGCGGTTGTCCGAAGCTGCTAGACGCTTGTGGCTGCCCGAACATGCTCGGCGCGGGCGCGGGCGCGGGTGGATGCGGTGCGCCGAAGATACTGCCAGGCGGTTGCGCCGGCTGGCCGAACATGCTCCCAGGTGGTTGGACGGGCTGGCCGAACACGCCCGGCGCGGGCGCGGGTGGTTGGGGCTGCGCGCCGCCGAACGAGAATGTCTGTGCTGCGACGGGGCGCGTGGCCACACTGCCCAGTCCGAAGAGCGGCGTCGGCGCGGGGGCGGGCGGGGGCGCAAACGGCGATTGCGGTTGGGGTTGCGGGGCGAAAGGAGATTGGTGTGAGGTGGGTGGTAGGGAAGAGGAGGGGGGGCGGCGGTGGGGGCGGCGGTGAGGCCGGAGAATATCTGCGCGGAGGAAAGAGAGGCGGGATTGCTGGGGTGGGAGGATGGAGGAAGAAAGGTGAGGTTAGTTTCCGCGTGAATGCAAGGATTCGCGCTCGACGCTATGCCCCATTAACTCTGGGCGGCACGAAATGCTGACAAACTAAACTGATCTCCGCCCTTATCCAGCGGCAGCGCTGGCTGCGACATGGGCGGCTGGGCGAACGCGGTAACGAACGGAAACAGCGGAGTCCCCGGCGGCGGCTGTCGTGCGTTGCACAGGTATAAGTACGAATAAGAGAAACGCGAGGCTAAGTCACAAGCACATCATGACTCCAATGCGTACAGTCCGGCGCCGCGGCGATGCTAGCGAAGCGCTCGTCCTCGGGTGCGGGGACCGGCGCGGTGAACGCCTGCGCCACGAACAGCCGCGCGGGTTCGGTGATGGCCGCGGCACTGGTGCTCGCTACGGGCGCACCGAACGGCGCCGTCGTCGACGCCGGGCCGCCGAGCACGGAGAACGGGCCGTCGGGGTGGGAATGAAGAGCGGGGGGAGGCGCTGGGCGGCCCGGGCGATGGGGTCGGGCGGGTACGGCGGGCAGGGCGGCCCGACGCGCGGGAGGACTCGAGGTAGTCGTTGATGCGCACTTCCTGCGTCCAAAACAAAGTCAGTGCGTGCTGCGGGCCGGGGAACCGGGAAAGCGGGGGAGAGCTCAAAGGACTGGGATTGGGGGCCTGGGAGACAGGAGATGGCGAGGCTCATGCAGGTCTCGGCGCTGCTCGCCGCCGTCGTCGAGGCTACTTAATTATCTTTAGTAGTGGGTTTACCGTTTTAGAAGGACAATGGACATCGAGGGGAAAAGTCACATTATGTCACACGTGACACTTCTGCCTCTTCCCCCCACAGCGCCTTCGGAACTTGGCCGAGCTCCGAGTCAAACATCCAGGCATACCCATCCAGGATATTAATCGCTTAGCCCATGCAATGGACCAGGACTACATTCAGATACCGCAGGAACTGGTGAACCACATCATCAATTTCCTCCACGACACCCCGACCGGTTTGAAGGCTTGCGCCTTGGTTTCCCGTGCATTTGTGGATGAGGCCCAATCCAATATTTTCAAAGAGCTATCTATAGGTCATTTTGGAGCGCCGACAAGTGATATTGACGCCTTGTGGTCTCGGTGCCAGGTGACACTACATGCCTCCCCACACCTCGTCCAACACATTCATCGATTCAAACTCCATCCCCGCCAGATCTCCATCGACACACTCTCCGCGATCTGCACTTTCCCATTCACTCATTTGAAGGAAGTTTGCATTCGCAATTTGGACCTATCCCCTCCGTTTGCGATCGCTCTGCAGGGGCTGTTTAGTCTGCCTAGTCTCCGTTTTGTTAGCCTGGAGTGCCGGTATGCCGACCGTTCGACATTTATCCAGATCTGGGACGGCTGCGCTCCCGGTCTCAAGCACCTGGAACTCAGATGTTTCCAGACATCGACTGAGGCCTTCCACCCCACCTCTCACCGCTGGCCCGCGCCTATTCACCTTGACTCACTCCGAATCATACACCCAATCAGAGGGATGCGTGACTGGATGGACCACCCCCTCTGTCCATTCGATTTCTCCGGGTTGAGGGTGTTGTCAATCTCAACGTATACAGAAGTACTTCGCTGGCCACAGATTACACCAGCCCTCCGAGCGGTCAAAGCACTCGACTTTATCATTCCCGTACGCATGCCGATTTAATCTAACACTGTCCTGCTCATCTTCCTACAGCTCTCCGACCCCATGATCGACCTCTCTCCATTCCTAGGTCTCGTGTTCCTCCGCATTTCGATAAACGGGGACTATGCCTGGCCCATGGTACTCAACACCCTCTCGACGATTACGCCCTCGAATCACATCCGCAAAATTGTGATCTGTGGTGTCTTAACCGATGGGATCGCCGCTGAAGAGCTGGACGCCAGGCTCTCGAGCCTTCCCATGCATCACTCACCAGTGTTTCACTTCGAGATGGATCCTGCCGAGTACGACAGGCTCGCACCTACCTTGCATCGGTTGAGTTCCATAAACATGGTATGTCCTCTAATCACATATCTGCTCGCCTGTCCTTATTTCTCTGGATCTGGCAGCTCCGTCGCGCCGAGCGTCATCACGATGATTGGTTCCACGTGAGTTTTATCACTCGCACGTCAGAGCTTCTTACAGAACTGCGCAGAGTTACACCCGCACATTACAATAGCTCAAATCGCGCATGTGTTTCAATTATCAGTACATTGTAACGCATTCTCTCTCCTTAAACTTGGGTTTTAAAAAATCCACATGTCGATCTCAGCTTCACACGTCTCTCAAAATTATACAACATGCAGCCAAGGTCGCTGGGATGGTTACTTTTCCGCAGTGCGGCGATGGCTTCCAAGACCGCCATGGGGCGCCTGTGCCATCTAGCGAATGATTATTGCAGGGTCCCATGTTTCCGCTGCGCCTTCCTCGTCCTCTCGGAGCTGACCATCCCCCTTCTTTTTATTGTCTCCTTGGTTCTGCTTTCATTTCAATATTGGACCTTCCCGGCACACGCGGTTGTCCTGATCTGTCTTACGAAAGATAGTCCTCGAACCGCACTCTCACCTCATCCCCTGCGCTGTGCCACATCCCTGGCTTCCCGCTGGTAATTTCTGGTTTATTCCGTCGACCTTTCATAATCTTCCTTCAGCGCGGGTGTCGTTCGGTAAGTCCGAGTCCCTTCGTCACAGGACTCGTTGATCGACTTCCAGTTCCATTCATTCATTTTCACCGTAAGGATGCTCATGCAGGAATTGCAGGGAAGATTCCGAACCTACCGAGTGTCTAGCGCGCTTCGAAACTTCAACGTGTAAATTTATATTTGAGATGGTCAAATACAGAGTCTTCTCGGTATCGAGGCACACAAAAGCGGGTACGAAATCACCAAGAAAGCGAACGGTACCAGTCCTAGGTTCGGTGAGTTCCTGCTTTGCGTTATTTGGTTCGGAATACAACTTACATCACGAACGAACCGGAGACAAGGTCGAAGTTTAGAAGCCCAATTTCAGCTCGACCTGTGGATTGACTCAGGGCGAAACCAAAAATGACACGACGAAGAGGACATACCGACTCAAATTGTTTCGCCATGTTGGCATTGAAATCCACTGAGAACTTCATCAATTGCTCGACCCCAGTTGTTCTGCAGTGATTGCACTCCGGAGGGATCTCTGACAACGCCAATGGTAGTAGTTCCTGACTATTCAGCCAGGCCCCGGGCTTCGTCGCAAGCGCGTCTGGCAAACGTTTCAGGTAGCCGGAGAACCACGCTGCAATCGTCTCTACTGAACCGCTTGTGAGTGCCCCAAGGGGGGCCACTGGGCAGATGGAAGACGCGGTTCTACACCCAAACCCGGGGAGATTAACGCTGGAGGTCAACCATTTCCGCGAGGAACTCGTCGCTGTGGCGATCTTCCCGCACTCAGCATGGTAATTGAGGAGACCATGGTAAGTATCGCCAGTGATGTATTTAAGCTGTGAGGGGCGTTCGGACGGAAATGTACGAATCGGCAGTCGCAGGGAGCTCTGAGCAGATTCCATCGCTAGGTCCTTCCATTCGTGGCGGCATGCAATGGCAAAGACGGCGACAGGATCCCCCTCCATATATCCCCGCAGCTGATGCTTCGCAAAGGGAATGATGGACTGAATATCGTACTTTAGGAGTAGACATTCCAGTGTCTTCTCCAACTCAACCAATGTCTGGGATAGGATGGGCCCGGCTCCCGGGTACCAGAAGCGCAATGCTCTGTCTAGAATCAGCGCAGATTCCGAGACAAGAATGACCGGAACGCCGGGCTCGGCGTCCGGCTGGGGGAGCGTGAACATCTGTTTGAAGAACGGCGACGCGAGCGATAGTACGACGCGGTGGACGTGGAAATCGATCCCATCGGATGAGCGGAGGATGACGTCCCCAGCGGGGTCATCGAAGGGGAAGCTGGGAACGAATGCAGGGGGAGGATCGGGGGTCGTAGAGTCGGACATGAGGGAGCTGATAAAGGAGCCTATACCGAGAGGGAAACGTGAGGATCGTGGATAGAGCGGTGAGGGCCACGCGAGTTGGATGCCGAGTATCGGCCGCCGCCGGAAGTGTCCGTGCCGGTGGCCCACGAGCCTCGGCTGCCACGGCATCCCACGTGCTCTCTCAACCAAGGGCCAAAGCGACCAGTTCCCGTATGGCGCAAACTCTTCGGAGAGGTGCTTCACTTCAGAGTCCAAATCTTGAATTGAGCTAGACGTTTTTACTCACCGGACTCAAGGCTTGTACTCTGGGCCAGAAAAAATGAATTAGGATAAATAGGACAGAGACAGATGGAAGACCGAGCACACTGAGCTCGATTCCTTCCCTGCGCCCGACATAAATCTTCTCCCCCCAAAAGAAATTTCAGAAACTGTATACGACCTGACCCCGTATCGAACAGGGACCTTCTGCAGAATTTTTTTCCTGTTCTTTGAATAAAAAGCAGACACATTCTACATTATGCTATCAGGTCTTCCTTACCTCCTTCCGTGCCTCCAATATATACCCCTCAATGCTGAGCTTAGTTAGAACCCGAACGGACGAATAAAATCGTCCGATGCACTCTTCTGCTTGAATGTGCAAGCAGAAGATAGCAGATGCTCAACCAATTATGCTACCAACTCATCCCTCTTCCTCCATATTCTCTCAACTTCCCACTGTAGCCCACGCCTTCTGGAATTCAACAACAAAATTGGGGACCCAATTATTCACGACCTGATTTCGGATTGAACGGAGATCTTCTGCTGATAACAGTTCTTATCGTCTTAGATAGAGCAGACGCACTACACATTATGCTATCAGCTCATCCAGACTTCCTTCCATGCCTTGACTATACACCCTCAGAATGTCCTTAGATTAAATGCGCGAACAAAATTGAATGCGACTGTAACCAGAAACAAAAACAGTGACACAGCGACACAGCGACACACAAGTTAGCTCTCTCTTCCCTCCCCAGCGCTTTACCTCCCCCTCCCACCCATCGTGTTCCGACTCCTCTGCTCCTAGTCCCACATTATGCACGAAAAATGATTCCTCAAGAGAACGGCCCGAGCCCGACTCGAACGGGGATATCCTGCTTGAACTGAATTGGGTGCATAAAGTTGTCCGTCAGCAGAGGCAGACGCACTGGGCAGTGTGCTATCAGTTAACACAGTTTACGTCGGGATTCATGGTAATCTTACGTGGATCTGAGGAGTCCTCTGGGGAAGAACAAAGGAAAGAGAAAGAGTGTGAACGACGGAGAGACGGAGAGACGAATGAATCGAGCACCCTGAACGCAAAGGAAATCCAACAAAAAAAAAAGGAAAAAAATAACTATTATGGATTATGACCTGAGCCCGAATCGAACGGGGATCCTCGGCTGATTATTCGCCTTCTTATCGCATAGAAAGCCGACGTGTTACACATTATACAAGCAGGTCTTCTCTATCCCTTCCTCAGCATCGACTATATACCCCTCATGATGTGCTCACACCAGATCCTGAACGAACGAATAAAATCTGATATTTCCGACTGCAACCAAAAGCAAACATGCCGACAGTGTTATAGGATAGAGCCCTTCCCCCCTCGGGCGCAAACGCAATCCAAATCCACAAAAAAAAACCCTGAGTATTCATGACCTGACCCATCACCTGCTGCAGATATTCTTCCGATCTTCCGAATAGAAAGCTGATGCACTCCACTCCACAATATGCTATCAGGTATTCCTTTCCCCTCCTCCCTGCATCTCCTATACCCAACATTCTAGCAATCCAAATCGGCGAACGAGAAGTATAAAATCTGCCATCAGACGAATCCACCAAAAGAGAGAAAAGAGACGTTACAGTGCTTTCGGAAAAGGTTGTCGTGTGCTAATTTTTTTTTTTTTGTAAATAAATCATCACGTGTCCGCTCGGCAGTCCGGCATCGCGGGTTCGGACCTGTTCGGACGGTGTATATTGGGCTCAACTGTGGTGGTAGGCCATCTGAATTGATTTATGGTCATTGAGAAGGTGTTATATGGGCTCTGGACATATTGCTGGGTTGTGGGCAGAGGTGAATGGGATTTTATTTTCCAAAAAAAAAAAACGGCGCGCCAAGGTTTTCCGAAAGCGCTGTAACCGATTAGGACCTGACCCCGAATCGAACGGGGACCTTCTGCTGAACATCACACTGCTTTCTAGTAAAAAGCAGATGAACTCCACAATATACTATCAGGTTTTCATTACCTCTTCTCCTACGTTGGTCAGAACACGAAAACGAAAAAGAAGAAGACTTCACCCCGCATATGACCCGACCCCGGATTGAACAGGGACTTTCTGCTTAAAGTTCTACCTTTATCGACAACATGAAGCAGACGCATTAACATTATGCTACCAGGTCTTCCTTAACTCCTACCGTGCGTCTTATATGTACCCCTTTCCCTATACACCCCCACCCACATTGCTGTCAGACCGATCCGCGAACGAGCACAAAATAAAATCTTGCAACCAAAAAGAGAAAAGAGGAGCAGCGGGATGTATACGTCAGGGCCCTTCCCATCCGCGCCCTCGCCAAGTCCCCACAAAAAAAACCATCCTGAATATCCACGACCCGACCCGGATCGAACGGGGACCTTCCACTGATAACACCTTATCTCACTATACAAAACAGACGCACTCCACAATATGCTATCAGGTCTTCCCTCCCTCCTTCCATGCCCGATAATATACTGTACTTACCCCATAACGTGCTCTGAACCTGAACCAGACCAAATCCTGACCCAACACGAACACACGACGCGATTGAAAAACAAAAAACGGCGACGCAGCGATAGACATAAGTTAGCGCGCTCTCTCTCTCCCTCCTTCCTCCTTCCTCCCCCCTTCCCGTACTCAGCGCTTACCAGCCCTATAACCCCCGCCTCCCCCCAAACGAAAACCCCGTCCCCCCACCTCCCCCCGCCGCGCCTGGCGTCGGAGTCGCGCCGAACGAAAATCCCCCCGCGGCCGTCGGCGCTTGTGGTGACCGTGGTGGTGGTCGCAGTTGTGGGACTTGCCCGAAGATGCTAGGCGCTTGTGGCTGCCCGAACATGCTCGGCGCGGGCGCGGGCGCGGGTGGGTGCGGTGCGCCGAAGATGCTTGCGCCGGCTGACCGAACATGCTCCCAGGTGGTTGGCCGAACACGCCCGGTCCGGGCGCGGGTGGTTGGGGCTGCGCGCCGTCGAAGGAGAACGTCTGCGCTGCGATGGGGCGCGCGGCCACGCTGCCCAAGGGGAAGAGCGGCGTCGACACAGGCGCGGGGGCGCGAACGGCGATTGCGGCTGGGGGTGCGGAGCGAAGGGGGATTGGTGTGAAGCGGGTGGGAGGGAAGAGGAGGGGGGGGGCGGTGAGGCCGGAGAATATCTGCGCGGAGAAAAGTTCCTGGGATGGAGGAAGAAAAGTGAGGTTAGTCTCCGCGTGAATGCAAGGATTCGCGACGCACCTCGACGCTATGCCCCGCAAACTCTGAGCGGCACGAAATGCTGACAAACTAAACTGATCTCCGCCCATATCGCTGGCTGTGACATGGCGGCTGCGCGAACGCGGTAACGAACGGAAACAGCGGAGTCCCCGGCGGCGGCTGTCGTGCGTTGCGCAGGTATAAGTACGAGTAAGAGAAACGCGAGGCTAAATCACAAGCGCATCATGATTCCAATGCGTACAGTCCGGCGCCGCGGCGATGCTGGCGACGGGCGCGTGGACCGTGCGGTGAATGCCTGAGCCACGGGCAGCCGCGCGGGTTCGGTGATGGCCGTCGCGCTGGTGTTCACTACAGGCGCACCGAACGGCGTCGCTGCCGTCGACGCCGGGCCGCCCAGCGCGGAGAACGGGGTCGGGAAGAAGAGCGGGGGGAGGCGCTGGGCGGCCCGCGCGGCGGCGTACGGCGAGCTGGGCGGCCCGTCGCGCGGTAGGACTCGAGCTTCCTGCGTCCAAAACAAATTCAGTGCGTGCTGCGGGCCGGGGAGCCAGGAAGCGGGGGACCTCGAAGGACTGGGATTGGGGGCCCGGAGATGGCATATGCAGGTCTCGGCTCTGCTCGCCGCCGTTGTCGAGAAGGACATTGAGGGAGGGAGGATGGTCACATTATGTCACGCGTGACACTTCTGCCTCTTCCCCTCACAGCACCTTCGGAACTTGGCCGAGCTCCGAGCCAGACATCCAGGCACACCCATCCAGGATATTCCTCGCTTAGCCCCATCCAATGGACCAGGACCACGTTCACATACCGCAGGAACTGGTGAACCACATCATCAATTTCCTCCACGACACCCGGACCGATTTGAAGGCTTGCGCTTTGGTTTCCCGTGCATTTGTGTATGCGGCCCAATCCCATATCTTTACTGAGCTGTCCATCAGTCGTTATAGAGCGACGACGAGCGAGATCGACGCCTTGTGGTCTCGGTGCCAGGCGACACTACATGCCTCCCCACACCTCGTCCAACACATTCATCGATTCAAACTCCATCCCCGCCAGATGTCCATCGACACACTCTCCGCGATCTGCACTTTCCCATTCACTCATTTGAAGGAAGTTTGCATTCGCGATTTCACCCCATCCCCTCCGTTTGCGATCGCTCTGCAGCAGCTGTTTAGTCTGCCTAGTCTCCGTCTTGTTAGCCTGGAGTGTTGGTATAACGACCCTTGGACGTTTATGCAGATCTGGGATCGCTGCGCTCCGGGTCTCAAGCACCTGGAACTCAAATGTTCCCAGAAATCGAATAAGGCCTTCCACCCCACCTCTCACCGCTGGCCCACGCCTATTCGCCTTGACTCACTCCGAATCAGACGAGTCATGGACCGAGGCATAGGGATGCGTGACTGGATGGACCATGCTTTCTGCCCATTCGATTTTTCGGCGTTGAGGGTGTTGTCGATCTCCAGCTTTACAGAAGTACTCCGCTGGTCAAAGCTTGGACCGTGCCTCCGAACGCTTGAAGCACTCGACTTCACCGCTTCCGTGCGCCTTCTGATTTTGTTCCCAAACTGCTCATTCATCTTCTTCACAGACCTATGACGACCCCATGATCGACCTCTCCACATTCCCATGCCTCGTGGTACTCCGCATTTCGATAGACAGGGACTTTGCTTGGCCGATGGTACTCGACACCCTCTCGACGATTGCGCCCTCGAATCACATCCGCAAAATCGTGATCTGTGGTGTCTTCGCCGATGGGATCGCCGCTGAAGAGCTCGATTCCAGGCTCTCGAGCCTTCCCATGCATCACTCGCCAACTTTTCACTTGGAGATGGATCCTGACGAGTACGACAGGTGCGCAGCCACCTTGCATCGATTGAGCTCCACAAACATGGTGCGTTCTCCAATCACATATCCATATCTGTCCTTATTTCTCTGGATCTGGCAGCTCCGTCGCGCCGAGCCCCATCACGGTGATTGGGGTGATTGGTTCCAGGTGAGTTTTATGACTCGCGCGTGAGAGTTCTTACAGAACTACGCAGAGTTACACCCGCACTT